GTGTGTGTGTGTGTGTGTGTGTTTGCCAACATGCAGGGGGAGCTGCGGCACTTGCGGTGTCCTGCTATGACCCCCAAACCTCCAAATTGCGCCCCCAGCGCCATGGTGCTGGCATGCTGAGGGAGCGCCATGGCGGGCAACCACGCTCATTGAGCGCGTTCGAGCAGTGCGCAATGTTTGGGCGCTGATCCGGCGCCCAATGAGCGTGTGGTTCCATAGCTATTCAGGGCTGAATTTTGTCCTCAAGTTTTTGGCAGAGTACCGGAATTTTCCGACATTCTCCAAAAGTGGCCCCCTACAGAATTTTGTCCTTAACACGAACTATGTTAGGATAAACCCGGCAATGCATAGCGCACCCCATCGTCCACCATCACATATCCCTAGGATTACGCAGAGGTCTAACTGTCTTAAATCATCCCAAATCTTTCCAGTGTCACCCCCCCTTCCCTCCCCCCCTGGGTCCCCCACCATACCGGGCCTTGGATGACGCATGGCCCCTCATTTGTCCACTGTCGTAGTTCTGTGGTATTACTTGCAGCTCCAACCATTATAGCCACAAAAAAAAGCCTCCTATCCCCACCTGCAAACGTCATAACCGGTGCTTTTCCACTCTGTGCATGGTATCCAACCCCCCCACCTCTTCCACCCCTTGTTCCAAACAAGATTTCTCTACTCGTTCTCGAATTGTCTTAACAATTCAACACCAATATAACTGGTAGCCTAATATCATCTGCATCCCACGCGTACGACAGGAAAAAAAAGGACCTATCTGCTCCACAATCTTCCTTACGTGCCCCCTTTGGTCTGCTTTTCAGCCGCTGGTTGATCCAACTAAATCATTCGTGAACCCAACCTTCCGTAATCGCAAAGCCTCTCGCTTAAATCACGAGTACTTGGCCTAGCTATCGCCCACGGGAAAAATAGGGTAGAACTACTAGAAACGTTTCCAGTTGGATGAATTTTTTGGACGCTCCTGTAGTGGCCTGCACGTTTCCTAAAATCGTTGCTTGTTAACGGGCACGACTTTAGCAAGTACTGGTGGTTGAACGTCGCCTATTGGCGCGTTGTAAACCTTGCTGACTTCATTGGATGGGATATCCTACCCATTTAGCTGCTTAATCAGCACAAAAAAAAAAAAAAAAAACAGACCGTTTACAATTACATGCAAGCGGCAAGGTGCATGGAGGACCATTCTACAGCACCGACCTACCCGTCAAATGCCACTATCTTTGTTTGGGGGCTCTTTTTTTCTCTGTCTGAGACTGCGCAGCCTTCTCCCAACCAACCCCAGTGAGGTGCTGATCATAACGTGTCCTCTCTCTCTCTCTCTCTCTCTCTCTCTCTCTCTCTCTCTCTCTCTCTCTCTCTCTCTCTCTCTCTCTCTCTCTCTCTCTTATGTTTTTAATTTTTTTTTCATAACATGTCCTCTCTTTAACATCCAGTGCGAAAATCTGCTGCTACTACCGACTGCTGTGCAGAGCTAGACCCCTGCCTTCGCTTTTTTAGCCCTTCTTCGAAAGCCTGCAGACCCCTCTCTTCCCCAAGTTGCCGGAATCATTTGGTCCCAGCCAGAAGAGGACCCCTGCCCGTTTGTTTTTTTTTTTTTTTTTTTTTTTTTGTGGGGGGGGGGGGGGGGGGGGGGGGGGGGGCGCAAACGTCGCAAAGGGCATTTCCAGGCCCAGTACTAAGCCCCGGATCGAGAAGTGAAATGACCACAGCCCTGGGAACAACAATGATTGGAAGTCTGTGTGTTGCGGGCAGATGTGTCAATGGGACGCTGGACCTGGTTTCCGGCGGGTGCCGCTCCCCACCAATAGATGGAGCAGCCCGGCAGATAAGCCCTCAATTCTGACGGTGCTCTTACCACCGCCGGGATAGAGGGCTTACACAAGGGCTCTTTTTGCCAATTATACACATCTAGATGTGTATAAGAGACAGGGCAAAAGACGATTGGAATAAATGTCTTGATCTGGACGTGTTTGTGGAGAGGTACAAAAACTGTCATTGATCTGCTTTTCTGCATCTCTTCCTGGAACACGTCCTGATTCAGACACTTATTCCAATCGTCTTTGCCAGTGGGATCTGGCCCTTAAGCGTACCAAGCTCCACACGAGGTCTCAGATATTTAGAGCCCCTTCAGGAGGCGCAACGAGCAAACTATGCCTTTTTTTTTTCTTTTCTTTTTTTGACTGCAGGCATCATACCGAAGACGTGGCACAGTGCTTGCATTTTTTTCAAGTCTCCAGCCAGTCAGAGATGGTACAACAAAATTATTATCTGACGACCTCGTGAACCAGAGAAACTTGTCTAGGACATCAAAGGCAAAAACCTTTTCTTTTTGTTTGCCCCCGTCCTTTCTTTTCCTTTCTTTCCAATTGCGATCATTTCTCACTTTATGCGTGTCATCCTTAAAAGCGCAGAGGCCATGCGAATATTCTCTCTCTGTATCGATCCAATTTTAACGGATGTCCCGAAGGACCGAAAAAACTTTTACCTTGTTGCTTGCATGGTTGACCTTTGCTCGCACATCCCAAGCGAATAGAAAGCTTTTTTCTTTTTTTCCTTCTTTTTTTTTTCCAGCGGAAGTTTGTATCACAAATCTTCAGGGGCCATGTCTTTATCATCAGACCCACTAAAAAAAATTCTCTCTCTTGTGTGCACCAGCTCATTGTGTGCGGAGGGAGAGGGAGGGAGAAGGAACACGATCCCTGATGACACGTGTCCATGGAGATTACCAGCCACTGGACATCCATTGCACGATTGACATCGCAGTGAACGCACCCACCACAACATTTCCTTGGAGTGCAGTGATATATGAGATCCCTCTAACCAGCATTTTTTGTTTTCCTTTGTTTTTTGAACTTTTTTCCTTTATTTTATTATTATTATTAATTTTTTTTTTTATCAGCAGAGCAGACAGGCTGTTCCTATTACTGGGGTTGAGATGAGCAGTCTCCGGTATTAGTTCACGTATTGATGGCTGCCCCTGCTGAAAACCACGTCGGGCGCTCCAAATCACAACAGGAAAAGTTAAGAGCCCCTTGAAAAAGCTTCAAACCCGCAGGTCGGATCATTTTGGTTCAAGGCACCAAAGTCTCTCTCTTCTGTAGTTCCACAGATCCAATGATTTTAGGCTGAGAGGCGGTTCGGGGGAACAAGGCACCAAAATCTCTCTCTCTCTCTCTCTCTCTCTCTCTCTCTCTCTCTCTCTCTCTCTCTCTCTCTCTCTCTCTCTCTCTCTCTCTCTCTCTCTCTCTCTCTTGCGCGCGCGCGCGGGCCTCTCTACTCTAGTTGTGAAGCAGCCCACGACCTCTTGCAGGCTCATCAACAAAAGGAGAAGATGCAAGACAAAATGAAAAACGAATGGTTATTTCAGATTGCTTATATGGACGCTGCAGAGCCTAGGCAATACGGATTTCAAGATGCAGCCACTCCTATGATGCAAGGAATTCTGGAGTGTGTGCGCCCAGGTTGCAGATCTCGATTGTAGGGCGGCTGTCTCCAACTCTGCCACGTCATCTCAAGCTGGCCCAGGCCAAGGGTGTGAACTACATGTGCATGGTGTGGCTAGTGATAGGTCATGCCTGAAAGCAGCACGCGAAAGTCGCGTGCAACGTTGGTTCACAGCGAAATTGCGAACGACTCTCTCTCTCTCTCTCTCTCTCTCTCTCTCTCTCTCTCTCTCTCTCTCT